TAGATTTGTTCCCTGCTCCCTGGAAATCAGATGTGAATAACAAATTGTGCTATGAAAGTTATAAATATTGCAATATTAGGTGAAAATGAATATATGACGAACCCTGTATATGGTAAACAAAACACGAAATCAGCACTCCAGTAGGAATCTCTTTTTGTCCCCCGGCCGCTGCCGCTGCCCCTTTTCTCAATTCCACATGTGCTGACGTATTGGCGAAGTACCACAACCGGATAACTATCTAATGATCCTAAAGGATCCTCACCTTTACTGCCTAGAACGCTTTCGTGGTAGTTCGGCTCACTGAAGGCACCGAGAGGTACTCAACCTAAGCTTGTACAGACCACCTTGTTAAGACCCTGTAAATTCGTGTGCTACCAAAGTGGCCCATCCCAGCGAATTCGCTGCGCAGGAGTCACAGATCTAACTAAAGTAAGACTTGGTAGTCAACATGAACCAACAAAAGGATCCAGCGAAAGTATAAAATGCAATCTCCACACGTTCTGCCGGACTCGCTACCCTCCGTCTGCGACGAGAGCACCTTGTTGAATGGCCCACAGTTAACTGATTGTTCATTTTATATGTGTAGCAGGCGGTGGAGGGGATGCAGGGGGGGGGAGGACGTTGAGTGGTTCTATCACAACAAAAATATGGAGTTACATTGACAATTTAACACCAATGGCTTTTGTTAGCGGTCACCCCCCTGTCACTTCCCTCACTACACCCTTTAGGCATTTTGCGGACTCAGAGATAATCCGAAAGTCATACGTATAGTTTTCACTGCAGATGCTGGGGCGTGTAAGGGGCTGGATTTGGCGCGGCGCCAACCAATTTTCCACCAATTGTAGTCGCTTGTCCGCTTCAGTAATTGGTGAAGAACAAGCTCGCCCCTCCCCCTTCCCAGCCCAGCGCCTACAGCGGATAAGACTATCCATACCGACAAACCCACCCACCACGTTATTGCTTCATAAAGTTAAACTCGGTGATATGTCCATCAGCGTGACTCGACCGCTCACATGGGCCTCGAATTGACGAAAACAAAAAAAATCGTCAGAATTTTCGTTTTTTTCAGATCTATTTATGTCAGTGCCTTGTTAACTACATTTACACCGATTCCCCTGTAGTTGAGAGGGCGTGTGAGCAGGGTGTGGACTGGCTTGCGGCCAAGGGAGCCTTTCCCACCAATTGTCGCCTGTTTAAGAAGACAGCAATTGGTGGTGGGCTGCTCTCAATCCACTCCCCCTCATGCGCCCTTTCTTCCCAGGAACAGTCACTGTAAACTTATGAATTCAGGTGTTCTGCTGCGTTGGTTCATCGTCGATGCTTTTCAACTCTCACAATGATGAGTATGTTTCAAGCAAGTTCAGTATCTGTAAAGATTGAACTACACAGACCCAGTACCGATATAAATATGATTTTATATAACCAACTGTTGTTAACACCCGCACTGGCGTCCGAAGTTTATCAAGAGAAACAATCATAGCAAACGCAACTGCACTTGACGCCGGGACTCGAACCTCCACCTGGATTGTGGCAAGAACAATTCTAACGGGTCGCTCTTGGAGAGGGCTCGAGCGCCTCGCTCCCCACGAAGGACTAGTTACATTGGCTGGGTCGTGTCAAATTCGAATCTGAAACGGCGACGGGAATATCAATCTCGAAGCCGTTGATTATCCCTCATTAATGGCGTACGCTCTTTTCCAAACAAAGATAACTAATGCGCGACTAAGCATTCCGCGCATCGCCACACGGATGCGTGGGCCGCGCGCAGAGGCGAAACGGCGAACTACGCAATTGTCTTGTCGTTCCCCTTCACATTTGCGTGTCTTCGGATCATAGTTTTAGGATTAGTTTCTAGTTATAAAACAGTCTTTTCATTCAGGAATCAGTTTATCGACACGTCCAGTATCAGTAACGCAGAATCAAAATGAATTGAAGCTCAAATCGAAAAGGAGAGACAATTGCAGAAGAAAACTTTGAAAATATTATTGTTAGGTTGGTGTTCTTTCATTGCTTTTTAGCAACATTTCAGTGGAAATAAAATTGTCAAAAAAAGCATACTTTTAGGAGGGTCCAGGCCAGGGCAAAGTACCATATTCAACAGATGAAGGAGTTTCATGCTGGTTCATGGCGTAAATTTGTAAGGCAGTTAGGAGGAGCAGTGGACGAGGTCTGGCCACGCCCTTTTTCTGCTCGTCTACGTACTCACCGGTCGGCGTCAACTCAGCCCACCGAAAGTTATATCATCGAGAAGAGAAAACAATCCGAAAGTGAGCGCAGCCAGGTTTTGCCTCAGCTGCCCTATCCTCAACTGTCTAGGGTTGACATTTATTTTGTTTGTGGATATATTGTTTGGATACAGCCAAGTCCACAGCTGATAAGTCTTTATTCGACAGAATCCTTCATATGAATGGCTTCACGGATGCCGACTATGTAAACTTCCGCTATTTGGTTCACAGTAATGTTGTACAGGCGATCACTCAGTTGTTGACAGCTGCTGAACAATTCAAGTATTCGCCTGATGATAGTGAAAAGTTAGCGGTAGGCTACTTCTGAATCTTCCGCTCACAGAAGTTTTTGTATCAAAAAGGGAGGGGGCATGGGTAGCATACTCCGCGCAAACCTGCCGCTTGCCACGCGTGGCAGGTCCGCGCGAGTCCGACGTGCTGCGCGATTTCGTCGCGTGAGGTCGCACGCGGCGAGTAACGAAAACGCGCGATGTGCGGCAAAATCTTTGTGCGCATATGTAGTTTTATAAGCACGGGAGTAGTTTAGAATCATGCGGTCGAGCCTAAGGTGGTCGTATTACGATGGAGTATCGAGAAAACAATAGTATAGTGAAAAGCAGTAGGCAGACGCGAGCGTTTGCGAAGCGCTGTGATGGAAGCGTTAGAACTCGAACTCTATTCCACTAGCTACGTACATGAAAAAAAGTGAGTCGACCTACCAAAATCCTTTACAATAGTTTTTCATTTCAGCAAGCCCTTGATTTCTTTCGAGTCTACAAGGAGCAGGTGAGACCGTCGGAGGTCGAGCTCAGCTTAGAGCTGTCACGTGCGATTTCTATAATCTACAACTCGCAATTTATAAAGAGCACCCTGTTACGGAAAGACGAGATCGAGTTACTCGACTCGGCAGAATAGTGAGTCTAAAAAGTTTTTTTTCGTGATAGAATTGCTGCAGCAGCTAGGTTTCTTCGGGATCAAAGGCGCATTCCGCAATAATCAAATGAGCTGGTGACATACAACGCGATGTCTCCCTCATCAATGTGCTTCTCTTCTTCACCGCAACACTCAAGTGGATAGAATTAGCAGCGAAACACTTGCAACATCAGGGAATGGAAAATGTCGTTAGGAATAAATATTGGGCGTGGCATGCAACAGTGGGCGGGGCATTACCTCCGCGTGGGTGGATAGCGTGCTCACCACAAGCCGCGAGCTCATCCGCGCTTGTGGACCGGATCATTTTGTCAAAGGAAGGTGCCTGCACATATGATCCATGCGGGACCTGTCTCTAAGGTTTATGGCTTGGGAGCGGGAACCGCGCTAAAACTCCCA